TTCATATTAAAAATATACATGATACAGTAAATAATATTGTATCTAAAAATACAATAGAGAACAATAAAACAAAGACAGATATAAATAGAGAAGAAAATGCAAATAATAAAGAAGTAAACAATTTTTTAATTGAAGTTGAAATGTCAAAAACACTTGATAAAACAAATCAACATTTTGAACAAAGTAATGAAAACAAAAATTTATTATTATCTGCAAATTTTGTACATAACAAAGATAGTATGATAAAATTAGAGAATGAATTACAATTAACTGATATTGATGAAAATATATATTCTCCAAATACAAATATTCCACTTATATCTCCAATAAAATTAAAACAAATTCAACAAGAACCAAAAACAAAATTTTCAGAAGATGATGTAGTAAATTTAAGTGATAGTGAAGATGATATTTTTCCATGTTCTCAATTGTTTGATATTGGATATGGCATGAATACATCTATAAAAGATGAAATTAAAGAAGAACCTGCAGAAATAGAAAATGTAAGATATAGTATAGTCGATGATGCAGATTTAATTATTTCATTAACAGATAGTGAAGATGAAGATAATAATTGGTTACACAGATTATCTCGAAGTCAAATACTTAATGAGAATGATGAAATTGATATCAATGATATAAAGAAAGAAGATACAAAAGCAGATATTGATATAGAAGAGCCATTCCTAAATGAGTTTGAATTTATTGACAATAGAAAAAGTATAGATGAACAAATAAAAGCAAAAAAATCTATGAATAAAGAAGAAGAAAATATATCAGTTCAAGGTATAAAAAATTTAAATGAAATAGTTTCTCCAAAAACTTTCAATGTAAAAAATTTAAATAAAGTAATATCACAAGAAACTCTTCCAAATAAAACAAAAGATTTTGAAGATTATGTTGAAAAATTCACATTGGAAAGACAATCCTCGAAATATCAGAATTTGTCTCCAACACAAAAAAAGATAGAAAATTATATAGATATAGCTAATAGAGCTAATAGAATAGAAAATACTGTATCTTCAAAGAAAAAAAAATCAATTGAGAAAAAAGTGCCTCAAATAGAACCTCCGCATTTGCCTACCAGAAAACGAAACAGTAATACTAATAAAATTAAACAAAGTCCTCAGAAACATGAAAAATCTATTAAAAAAAAATTATCTGCTAATGAAAAAAAAAAGCGAGAAGAAATGTTGAAAATAGAACAACGTTTGTATGCAAAAGAACAAAAAAATCGTAAAATGCTTCATAAGTGGGCAGATTGTCTTCCTCCTAGTAAACAGAAAAAAGTTAATATTCTTTCTAAAGAAGAAAAGAAAGTGTTAATAGATAATAGAAAAATGAAATTGAAGAAACTTGCAATAGAGGAAAAACGATTATCTTTAGAAAATAATCAAGAGAAGAAACGTATTGTTTCTAAACCAAAAGCGAAAATAACGACAAAAACTCGAAATGATTTTCTTGTCGAAGACACGATCTCTGCATCTAGATTAGAAAATGTAACAGAAAAATCTAAAGCTTCGTCCAGTCAATCTTCAGTGAATAATACTTCAAATTCAGAAATGACAAATTCTGCAAAACATAAAAACATTTCTAAAGAAATAACAAAACATTTACAATATAAATTAACGCTTAATGATATCTCGAACTTGGGCAAGATTCCCAAAAAATCTAGCACTACCAAGATGAAAATAAATACTACAGAAGCAGAAACAGCATTAAAAGAACTCTCATTAGAAAAAAAAATAGAGAAAACAAATGAATTAAAAAATATTGAATCAAAGAATAAATCAAATAAAGAATCTTCTAAACTTATTGAAAATAAATCTTCTGTTTCTAAATCAAATATTAAATCGAATTTCGTGAAACCAAAAAAACGAGTATCTTTTTCTGCAGTAATTCAAAACGTACGTGAATATCAAATTGATGAATCTAATGTTTTAAAAAAACTAACAGGTAAAGATGCTCCTATACCTGCAGAAAAAGTTGCTGTAAAGAAACCTAGTAATACTACAGAATCTAATACAAAATGGAACCAATTTTTATGGCGTATTTTATGCTGGAAACCAGTATGGTTAGAAGAACAACAATATTTGAATCAAGATCCACCTGTTATTCAACCTGAAGAACTTAATGTAACCTTAACACATTATAGATCATACGAGGAATATTATAATATTATAAGTCCACTTTTATTGTTAGAAATTTGGCATGGAATCACTAAGCAATTTCAGAGTATAGATCATATATATAGACGGCCCACATTTATGTGTTCTATAGTTGAAAACTCTATTCAAACATATAATGTTCAAAATAATATATTTTTTACAACATTAATGCTTGAAGTATTAGCCACAAAAGAGGATATAAGAAAGCAAATACATCCTATTTATGGAGATCTCATATTTTTTGAATATGTTCAAAATCATGAAAAATCACAAAAATCAAAAGATTTCCGTAAAGTATTTGCTTATGTTACTAATATATATACAACAGTATTAACTCCTGTTACTCGTTTTAATCAAGATTTGAAGAATTATGTGAAAAATCCTCATACATTATTAACATATACTGTGATAACAAAATGTCTTGATAAGAATATCCTAGTAAATCGAGTTCAGCGATTAAGAGCTGTAATTTATTTGCGTTCTAGCTTAAGAATGGTACAAGCATTGCAGTTTCTTCCCAATTCACCATTAGTAAACTTAATTCTAAATCCGCAACTTGAAATGTATAAGTTACCAGTTGTTTCTGAAATGGAGACATTAGTTACTGGAGATAAATTAAATCAAAAACAGATAGAAGCTGTAAATAAAGTAACCAAAGCTGCAGTTCATAAAGATACTAAATTATGTTTTATTCAAGGGCCACCAGGTACTGGAAAATCAAAAGTTATTGTAAATATAATTACTCAAATATTATACGGAAATAATAGATATACAAGCAATGGAAGTTCTTTTAAAATGTTAGTATGCGCTCCATCAAATACTGCTATTGATGAAATCGTTTTAAGATTATTAAACGTTAGAACTACAATAAAACAACAGGCGAAGATGAAACCGTTTAAAATGGTTCGCATTGGACAATTGGAAATGATGCATCCAAAAGTGAAAGATATTTCTGTTACAGAATTAGCAAAACGAGATATTAGAAAAACGAATAATGCAAATAATACTCCATCTGACAGCATAGAAAATGAAAAATTGCTTTTACAATCTAAAATGAATGCTCTTCGATGTGAATTGACTAATTCTCGTAACTTGGATGAAGCTTATAAAGAGCATATCAGGATGAAATTGAATGATATGACTATGAAATATGAATTATTGAAAAATCGAGAATCATTAAATGAATTAAATATCAGAAACAAAGAATATATGAAATTACAACGTATGACGGAAAATAAGTTTCTTGAATATGCAGATATAATTACTTGTACTCTTTCATCTTGTTATACTAGTCAAATGGAATCCATTTTTGGTATTAATAAAAAAAAAATATCTGTATGCATCGTAGATGAAGCTACTCAAAGTTGTGAAGCAGAAACTTTAATACCATTAATGTTAGGAATTAATATATTGATTTTAGTCGGTGATCCGAATCAATTACCGGCCACAGTTTTAAGTACACAGGCAAAGAAATATGGATTGGATCAATCGATATTTTCTCGAGTTCAAAACGCCTTTGAATTACAACCAAATAATCCGATAATTATGTTGGATACACAATATCGAATGCAACATGATATTTCTTCTTGGCCAAATAAATTCTTTTATGGTGGCAAGTTGAAGACTGCAATCGAACGCGATGATACGTTTCCATTTTATCCCTATCGAATTTTGAATCTTAATTCAAATCAAAATGATGACAACTCAAACAATGAAGAAGCAGATTTTGTAGCAAATATTATATATTGTATGTTAACTTCTACTAATTTGGATAATTGGGAATCGTATATTTCATGTGGCATTCTTACACCATATAATAATCAAAAGTCTATGATATTAACAAAGATTCATGAAAAGTAAGTATACATTTAGCAAGACAGTATTATGTATTACCATTAAATTATTCATATATTAATTTTAATTATTTTAGAATATTTTCATTATCTGAAAATATTAAAAAAAAAGTGAAAATTGACGTGAATACAGTGGATGGTTTTCAAGGGCAAGAATGTGATGTAATAATTATGTCATGTGTACGAAGTCAAAAAATTGGTTTTTTATCAGATAGACAAAGACTTTGTGTTGCCCTTACAAGAGCAAAACGCAGCCTCATTATGTGTGGTAATTTTAATATTTTTATGGTAAGATTATATAATATCTTACAAAAAGAAAAAAAAATATAAAAAAATTAAATTATACAATGTTATACAATAAGTTTTATTGATTACAGAGATATCCAATGTGGAATTCATTAATATCAGATGCGAAATCGCGTAAAGTATTTTTTAACGTTGATACTAATGCAGATCTTGACAAAGTAAAATCGTATGTTATTAAGCGTACAAGAAGAAAGTGATTTTTTTTTAATATATTATTATTAATATTATCCTTGTATATTTGTAAATCTTGTCATCATCGTCGCGTGTTTAAATATGTATTATAAATCTTTATTTCATTTTCTACAATATATTAGCTTTGCTAATAAATTTTTTAAACTAACTATAATGTCTTGAATAGAATAAAAGAAAAAATACCCATTGTTAAAATATTTACTATTACATTTTTGATTAAGTTTGGTTTAGGTTAAGTATATTAATCTTGACCTCTTATACTATTATTTTATAATTAATTTATTTTTTAAAACTATAATAATACATTTATTGTAATTTTAAGCTAAAAAAAAGTAATTGTGCAGTTTTTTTTGTATAAAACAATCATTTTTAATATATTATTCTATGTAATAACGTATAAACAAATAAAAGATTAAACTATGATTTTAATTATTTATAGATATATTTAATTAAGATAGAATAAAAAAAAAATTTTGAATTACAATTAAAAAACTAACTCATATGACATATATTGTGTTTTTAATAAAAAACTTTGTGTTCACCGATATAAGTTACTATACTTAGTGCTTCGTAAAAATGAGCTGTACCTCAAATCTTTTATTTCAAATATTTATTATTATGTTTTATATATATATTGATAATAAGTAATTCTATGAATAAATTAATATATAAAAAAGTAGTTTCCTATTTTATATCTCGGAATTATAAATTCGAGTTTGATTTTTCTAGAATCTAAACTTTGATCATGTGGCTTTATTTACATTCGATAGGTCGACTCCACGGATGATGTATAATATAAAATTAATTCTAATCAAATTAAAATAAATCTTAAATTTATGTATTAATTTAAATATTCATAGCAATAAATTTAAATTATTTTTGTGAGTGAGTACTTATTATATATTCTTTTGAAGGAAAATGATTACGAGATTGTGTATTCTATTGTTATATAAAATTAATAAATTATTAATAAAATAATAAAATATTGTTATATAAAATATAAAATATTTTAAATATTTTAAATATTTTAAGTATTTTAAATAATATTTAAACATTTAGTTTTAATAAAAAAAAATTGTAGTTTTGATATTGAAAATTTACATAAAAGCAATAAGAATACTAAATAATATATTGTTTTTTAATATTTATATTTCTTTATTTTCATAGTATCTACAATTTTAAAAAATTTATTATGATGGTTCGTTTTCAAACTATGACACCACAAGAATATAAAACAAATCACCGAAATTTCAAGATAATTTATGGTTTTTATCCTACACCTTTTGGAAATTGTTTAATCGGCATTACTAATACTGATAATGCTATTATATATCTAGGATTTGTCGACAAAAGTAACGAAGAAGCATTAGCTGAATTAAAAAGCAATTGGCCTTTTTCCGAATTGATTAAGAACATTGGAAATGAAATAAATGAAATTATAGAAAAAATTTTTTTCGAACAAATATCTACAAATGATTCTATTTTAGTTCTTATGAAGGGTACAGAATTTCAAATAAAAGTTTGGGAAGCTTTGATGTTTATATCAGATGGTACAACTGTTACTTACGAACAGATTGCGCAAAATATAGGTAAACCAAAAGCTGTACGTGCTGTTGGAAATGCGATAATGAAAAATTATATTGCATATTTGGTGCCATGTCATCGTGTAGTAGGAAAATCTGGTAGTAATAAATATAAATGGGGAACGAAACGTAAAGAAGATCTTTTGATACATGAACGTAAATATATAAATATTTGAATTTATTTTTTTATGTATTTATATATCTTTATTACTTTATTAGTTCATTATTTTAAGCTATATATTTTTTTTCATAAGTTTTGTTATTTAGATAATATTTATCTTGCAGTATAAGTATATAGATTTTTTTTTTATATCAAAATTCTTTGGAATTTGTATATATTATAAAATGAAAAATTGTTTATTTTTATATATTAAAAATTTAATATTAAATTACAAATAATTAAAACATTTTGATTAATTAAATTAATTAAATTAAATAAAAATTAAATAAAATATTACAAAGAAAAGCAATTATTATTTAAAAAAAATTATTTTATTATCCCTAGTATACAAATATGCAAGATAAATTATATACATTTTTAAGATAATATTTAAGTTATCAAAAAATATTTTATACATACATAAATTACAATTATGTGATTAACATAATTAATTTTATTGCATTTCTGTATAATATAATAGGAACATTATAATGTTAGGATGATCTTCAGAATTAAATAATTTTAAAGATGATAATATCGATTAGATATATATAAAGTTTAATTTTTATATTTGCATTCAAATAATTATTAATATAATTTTTGTATAAAATTGTAGCATCCTTTTAATATCTTATAGTAATATACATATCCTTTTACTTAATTATACAAAATACTAATCATCACAATTTTAATAAATAAATATTGAAAGAACTTAAATGCAGAATCATACATATTTGTGAAATTTTAATATAATTAATTTCTTTTTAATTTACAGGTCTTTCAGATGTCAAAATAATAAAGACTATAAATTTGTGACTTTTTTAAATTAAATAAAATTAATTAATAATAATTTTTAAAATTAAAGAATTGGCAATAACATCAATAATTTGGCATCTGATAGACTTATTGTTAAACATACTATGACTGAAGAAGTATTATCTACATTGTAAATATTATTATGAATTCTATATATTAATAAACACACATACATGCGCGCGCGCGCGCCACACACATACATACACACATATACACAAAGCACACACACACACACACACACACACACACACATACACACACACACACAAACCATACACATACAAAATATAAATATAAAAATGAGTTATAAAAGTATTTTATAAAAATGTAAATTGTTTCATACTCATTTATAAAAATCTTATTTTAGATACAAATATATTTGCTTATGTTATTTGTAAAAATTGATATTAAATTTAATCCAATTATTATATAGAAATTATAAAAATTTATTGTTATTGATTTTTTAAAAATAATCTTAAGGAACTATATTATTAAAATTAATAATTTTATATATTGTTTTAAATTTTCAACTTCATTTTCAACTTTTTTGAAGTAAATTAATAAATATGTATTATATTAAGAAAAAGTAATGTTAATTTTTTCTTTTAAGTACAAATTTATGGAATATATATACGTATTTTATTATTGGTGAACCATTCTATATACTATTATTACTTCAGTCTCATTAATTGATTAATAGTTGTAATTGTATTTACTCAATTGATTTAATATATAATTGAATAATTAAAAAATGTATTAAAATCAAAAATTATTGTACATAAATTTCTTTGGAGTCTCCTAGCAAGATAATTTTCTTTTTACTATTACTTGTATCTTACAAGGCAGTGTTTGGTGAAAATTTGATATATGAATAAATATTCATAAAAGATGCATCGTTTAAATGGAAATACTTAAATATCTTCATTATTTATGAAGATATTTATAAGAATGTAAGTAATGGAGATATCTAAATATTTTCATTTATATATTGCATTGTATATTATAATGCATCTTTCAAAACAAATACAAGTATATTTGTATTACTGATATTAATATATTTGTTTATATTGAATTAAAAATATTTAAATATTTTTATATTTTTTAAATATTTCTTTAAGTCAGTCAGTAATATAATAATTTTTTAAATATTTCATGTATAATATTTACTTCCTCAATCATTTTTTAGTTAGTAATCTTAATAAAATTTAAAAAACTTTTATAACTTCACTTCAAGACAATAATATTTTTTTGTTTTGTGTCTTGCATTCATTCACTAAATTAATTATTATTATTGGCAGTATTGATACTCAAATACATGTATAAATATTTTTAAAAAACATAATTACCATTATAAATACCATAAAACTATAAGATGCAGTGATCTTGTGTGAAGCAAATGATGGAATATTGTTTCCTGATATATTAGTGGTACCTGTTACATAAAATAATCAATCTTATTATAAATTGTATAATATAACACAATTTATTAATAAATAAATATATAACACAATTTATTAATAAATAAAAATAATATGATTTCTGAAACCTGAAACTCTCGATCGCGGAGTAGTGGCGATTCTCATTATTGGATTGTGAGGAATTGGTTTCATTGGTGTTGGTGCAGGACTTGGGGAATTTCCATAACATTGACCTGTTTAATTATATTAAATTATTAGATGTATATTTTTAATATTAAATACTAATTACGAATTTAGAAACTCACCTTTCTTATATAGACGCATTCCTTCTTTTTTAGGATCAATATTTCTCATACAATGATCTCCCGCTTCTTTGATATAGATTTCTTCGTCATTTACAATTAAACCAACAAAACATTCATTAGTACTAGTATCGTTTCTCATAGTATATGTATACATTACACCTTTCTCTTCCCATTGTCCTAAACATAAGTATGCTCGTTCTGAAACAAATTTTTTTTTATATGGTATGGCTATTCCAGTAAATATTTTAATAAATTGAAATTAATTTTGAAAATACCTTCATAAAGTTCTCCAGATTCACAATCAGTAACTTTAAAATACATTATTTCACGAGTGTTACAATTACTACTTAATTCAGCACACATTCCTGATAAATCAGTTATCATACCCATATATTCTCCTGTAATCGGACAAGGTGATTCTACTGCACGTTCAACGCCTAATTTTAAGAATATATATATCTTAATATTATTGTTTTATTGAAATATAAAATTTATATATTTATTTCTTTTTTTTTAAATTGACTTACGTGCTTGTGTCATCCAAACAGGTTTATCTAAAGGATTGTCGCACAATGAGGGTTTATAAACTGGGCTTAAAAGTACTCCTGCATGAAAAATTTGTTATTTCATAAATTGAATGATTTAATTAATATTTATGAATTATCGATATAATTATCTAAAAAATAAATACCTATTGCAAATTCTAATACATTTTCACTTCGTTGCCTCATCATTAAACATACGTAAGCTGCTTGTTCACTAGAAATATTTTTTCTTTTAGAAATTTTAATAAAAACAAACTCTTTTAATGTTCTTTTTATTCATTGTATGTTACCATTGATTTTTGGAGTAAACAATATAGCGGCCAGTTTCTTCATTAGAATCAACGGTAATAAATGTATAACTATTATATCCATTAAGATCAGTGAAAGTCATAGTACCATTAACAATAAGAGATTCTTCCCATAGACCTTGTGCCCATTTTGGAAATCTAATTTAATAATTTTTAATTAATTAAATATAATATAAAATTATTGTAATATTATAAAATTATTAGAAATTGTAATTAATTAATAGACATAATAATATATAAATATATATAAAATTTTATATATTAAAAATAATATACTAACGTTGCCACATGAGTCTTCACATAATTTGGCATCTTTTTTTGATTTGGAACTTTACTAAGGATTAGTGTTTCATATCCACTAGTGGAATTATCTAGATCTTGTGTACAACTGGAATCACTGCTGAGTGCCATATATGTCTTTCCTTTTTTATTGTCAACATGAAATAACTAAAAAGAAAGGAAAATTTAATGGAAAAAATATTTTAGAAATATCATAAAATATTATTTTTAACTTACTCCACATCTATATTGTGGTCTACCTTCATAAGTTGCACTGTTATCCATTAACGCAAAATAAGTAGAACCATTTGGACCAGGCCAATTGCCTAAGCAATTAAATGTAAGATTTGCTAAAAATAAATGAATTACAATAAATGAATTTTTGTAAATATATCAAAAAAAAAAAAAAAAGAAAAAAAAGGAAAATTACTGTAAGATTCAAAGTTGCATCGATTAAAATGTAATCTTAAGATTGAACCATCAGGACAATTGTTAAAAGAAGATGAAAAACTGTTACATTCAATAGTTTTATCTGATCCATTATTGAGATTATATGTAAAATGATACTGGCCAGTTATTGGGCAATATTCATTTCTAATAGGAACATTTCCAATTTCTCTAGTACCTATACAAACAATGAATCACATAAATTAAATAGTATGATGAAACATAAAATATTTATAGACTTTTTTTAATTTTAAATATTTATTGTTTCACTTACGATATAAAATCGATGTCGAATTTAATTTATCACAAGAAGCCAAAGCAGTGGCTTCTGAAGTGTAACATCTATTTAAATCTTCAGAAAATACTTCTATAACATTTCGTGATCTTCTTGATAATCGAAAGCATCGGATGCAGTCACCATCACCATATCTAAAAAAGATATAAAATGATTTTCAGTTTATTATTCATCCTATTTGAAAAAGTATAATGACGAAATTTTTTATATTATTAATCTATTAATTCATTTATAATCTGTTAATTCATTTTTTCAGTAAAAAATTAATTTTAATTTGAAAATTGAAAATTAATAAAATCGAATTATTTTTGTCTTATAAATACAAATATATTTTTTATATAAATATTTAATATTAATATATGTTTTAATTATATAAGTTACATATATATAAAATAGTAACAATAACTGTTATGAACTGTTATTAACTGTTAAAAATTAGAGAATCCCTAAATTTAGAATCAAAATATTAGCAATATATATTTTATTTTTTTCAGTTAAAAATTAAATAAATTAACCAATAAAATTTTTGTATTATTTTAAATTATATACCATTAGTTAAAGTAGTATCTGCAGCCGACATTTCCGCCGGAGTCTGGTTTATTTCCATCCCAGACATATTGCAGACATTGAGGCATCCCTAAGGATGCATTAAATGTGCAGTAACTCAGTTACGGATTTGGTTACAATTTAACTTTTATGGAATTGTATCTAAATTGACAAACTAACTAAAATAAATTTTTTAAAATTTATATTATATTTAATACAAATAACAATATATCAAAATACTAAGATTGATAATCAAAAATATTAATATTTGGAACTAAAATTTTTTTAATCTAAATTATACATTTAAGATATTTACCACATTATATCTTTATTACTATATAAATTTTAATTTTCTTTAAAATATATTAACACAAATATATACATATATATATATATATACATGAAAACAGAAAAGGAAAAATTATTATGAATAAATATATTTAATAAATTTATAATATACAATATTTTTTTAATTATATATTATTATTTTATTTTTTAAATATAATTTTTTCTATTCTAAATAATAAATTATCAAATTCAAGAGATAATCGAAACTAAATGTTATCATGAAACAAGGCAAATCGTAACAGTTTATGATCATTCGAGTTAAATTACTCGATTCAACGTGAACTTACCTGTCCATTAGCAACACGTTATCGCCGACCCTCCTATGGCAATAACCCCATACGGGAACAGCGTTGAACGTGATGTTGATAGTAGAATATTGAATAGGTTCATTGCCTGTATCCTTTCCGCTCACCTGTGTCACGAACTCACCCTGAAATTCCGCGGGAAAGTAACAACCGACCATGAATAGAGGGTCGTAACCTTGAAGAGCATCGTCGCTCGTGATTACAGTTGCATCTACAAATAAATGAAGTAAATTAAGTTAAAGTTTAATTTAAGTAAAAATTTAATTTAATTTATGTTTTTCAAAAAATTGAAAATTGAAAATTTTTGACTTCCTTAACATCAGATTGATCTAATGAATTGATTATATAAGATTAAATTTTGAGATTGCAAAAAATTAAGAAAGATCATAGTGTACAATTATTTATAAGATAATTCATTGCATAAAAATATATCCAAAAAAAAAAAAAAGAAAGAATTTAATATTGAAGATTCAATATTTATGAGATATAAAGATATAGATAAAATAATGGTGTATAATAAGTTAAATTTTAGAATAATTTTTCTTAATTAATCTTCACAGTATTTATTGTTTTCGCAGAATAGATCAATACAATTGAGTAGAACTGAAATAATTGTAAAATGAATTCCCATGAACAAGATCAGTTAAAGGTTATGTGAACGACCTTCAACAGGAAGGCTCGGAATTAATTTAATACAGTGTGAAAAGAGATCATAATCGATCTTCAATTGCATAGATTAATTAAATTTTATAAAATTATTTAAAATTAATAAATAAAATTATTTATATTTTTCTGATGATTCCATTAATTGCTTAGTAATATTCTATATTTAATTTTATTTATATTCTTCAATTATTCATTTGAACATAAATTGATCAATCAATTGTTCACTTAATTATTTAGTTTAGAAGAGAAAAAAAGAGAAAATACAAAAAGAAGTGCATCAATATTGTTGATATTAGCACGGTGAATAAATTGCATTTCTTATTGCCCACATGTCGTGCAATTAACGATGAACCATGAATGGTCATTAATGTTAACGTTAAGTGGTTACGAAAGCAGGTGTTACTCTAACAGGTGGACCACCGGAGAAACTTTTCAACGAAACATAATACTATTATTTCTTTTAGTTTATAATTTTATTATCACTTGCTATCTATTTGCATAGGAGGATTTATTTTGTTTAATTTAAAATTTTTTATTTTTCTTAAAAGAAATGTTTTCATTGAGCTTTTGTCATTAAGAAAGAATTATATAATGACAATAATCATACTGTTCATTATCTTAAAAAGATCTCTGGTATTATTTTTAGATAAGTAGTGTTTGTCTGATCTTCTTTGTTAGGATTTTTGTAATTAAAACTATATTATTATTTTTGTGATTGTAAATCTGTCTTCTTTAGAGATAGATTTTTCTTTTTTTTTATTTTTTATTAATTTATTTGATATTTATTTAATTAGTATATTTTTTTAAGATCAATTGAAAGATTAATTAAATAAAACAAAAAAAAAAACTTGAAAAAATTGATGTCTCATTATTCTTGAATAATCATTGATTAAAAATTTTTCATATGATTTAACGAGATTAATTAATGATGTTTTCTTCATATTATGCAAATCTGAATGCAACAGAAAAAATGCGTTCAGATGAGTCATTTGCTTGGCCATGCATATGAATATGACTACCAGACGGCTGCAAAATAGCGTTTAAATTTAGATTTGTATATTTCTTTTCTGATAATTTACACACGCCCACATTTGATATTTATTTTTATTAAACATTTCAATAAAAGTACGTATTTATTTAAATGTTATTATTTAATTTGGTATTCAATATTCAAAATTTGGTATTCTGACTTCAATAATAATTTAATAATTTAATAATCAGAATTTAATAATCAGTATTTAATTTACTTACTTAATATTTGCTAATATTTGTATATGTTATTCAAAATTCTCAGTATCAAATATTGAAATTTGATATTTAATAATTAAGACTTATTATTTGGTATTTAATTATGATATATATATAAATAGGTATTCAATATTTAGTATAAACATTTAATAATAAAGTTGGTATTCGGTATTCGATATTGAATTCGCGCTATTTAGTTATTTCATCATTTGATATTTATTCTGTATTTACTATTTGATATTTGAATTCAAAATTAATCTCTTAACATTATGATAGAAACTTATAAATATTCTTTTTATATGATAGCTGACATGCAGCTATACTCAATACTCAGTTATCATTTGATAATAATTTCTCAGTCATCGGTATTTATCGGTCATCTAATATTTTTTTAAGCTAAAAATCTAGGAAGAAAGAGAAGAAATGTGGAATGGAGGAACGGTTAACTTCAGTTCACCGTGATATAACAATGAAAGGAGAGCTTAGCTCCATTTCTATAAGCGAATATAACAAAAGAAAGTCCGTGAATAAGAATGGTCACGTTGGACTCTATTTAGCTTGGCGAACTCGTAGAGAAGAAGGTGCGCCGACACCACGGCATGGGATCGACGGCGTTATGAGTCCTCACCGGGGTTTGGTTCTCAGGAACCTGAGACCACAGAGTTTAGTCGTATATAATGCACAGAGAAGAACGCGACAAGCATCGCGAGAAGGAATGTGAGGAACAAGCTGCTTTGCTAAGGTATTACGCCCCCCCTCCTTCATTCCGGAGCATACATGTATACGGACACAACTGTCTATACACATTGTCTCTTTTCCCTTTCCACCCAAGAATTTGTCTCGTTCCTGTATATCGTATCCAGCTTTTTTTCTATTTGTCTTAACTCAAATTTCTTCCATTGATCAGCTATATATTATGTTGTCGAAGAGACGAATAGTCTCTTATTTGGTCCCTAAGGAGTAAAATTAAAAAGGACTATTTTTTAATATTTTATTAATCGTATATCATTAATAATATAAATAATTAACTGAAAAACGTTTTAGGTTTGAATATTCTTTAAATGAAAATAGAAGTTGTAACAATAAATAATAATAAATATTTACAATAAAAAAGATAAAAATTAAGAAAGAACGAGGAACAAAAGAAATAGATGAGACAAGAACTATTTAATTAAATATATAAGTATATGGGAATTAAGGAAATATATGAATTAAATATACATATATCGCGTACTTTTTTCATGAAATCTTTATCAGTTATGTTAAATGATGATATAATGAATTATAAATCTCCGATTCATTTCTTTTATCTCGTTAGAAATTTCAATTGCTTGTTCGAAGCATTTCGCATGACATATCACACGGATGTTACCTTTTCTGGTGTGGAGAAACGAGTATTTCAGGGCGATAATAAGTGCAGCGAGTGTAGCAAATACAACTGAAAACACAACCATTATAAATTATATCCTATTTATTTATCGATTTTTCGTCTACGAGACATAACTGATAAAAATTTCTGAAGAGCTTTTCTTAATTAGAAGCAGATATATTTTCTTTCGAATTGAATTCTCGTTTTTATTATTTTTATTATTTTATTATTATTCACCTTTAATAAAACCTTTGGCATTTAATTTTTTAAAATTTTAAAAAATTCATATTTTCGAACATTCCACCTTGTGAAAATTTGATATTCCATCATCAATAGATTCAATATTTAATATTTGAGCGTAGAAATATTTTTTAAATGCTTTTAAATATAATTGAGAATCGAAGAAAAAAAAAAAAAGAAAGCTTTGAAAGCGCTTATCGTCCTTCAACATCCTTTAAAATCGTTGAAATTTTTCTCCCCTTTGATCTTGATTAGGGCTCGGTTTTTACCTTTCACGTGAATACTTATGTTGCCTCGTTGCCACGTAGTTTACCTTCGTAAACCGGAAACATGCTATTAGCCAGGATTCTTGTTTTACCATAATCACGTGTTCTTTTATAATTGATGCTTTTTGTGTTCATCAACCTTTCTTTTTTTCCTTCGCGACTTGCATGCGTTTGAATGAGAAAGTATGCGAAAGAATAGCAGGATAACACGATGGATCCTCCGAAACAGGTTGTTTAATTGCATCAACCAATGCTCGCCGATGTATAACTTGCTCGTTTCAGCCCTCGAGTTTCTATTTTCATAAACCGTTGCCTCCTTATTCATGGATATTCATCAACTTTTATGATTTGTGCATGTATTTTAGAAACTTTCATTTTACCGGTCTAAAATTAACAATTATAATGTAAACGGAACTTTATGAACTGTTTTTCTATATGACTTACACTCGTTTCAAGAAATCTTAACGAAAAATTTAAGAAATTATTAAACGGATTTTATTAAAGAATTTTATTAATTATATCAAAGAAAAATGTATTGAATATTATATTTGTAAAAATTAAAAATTACATTATTTACTTTTTTTACGTTTATATTCTTTTTTTTTCAATCAATTCTGTTTTAATAATAAAGTCATTTTATTAGAAATATTTAATATTTCTAATAATTAATAGAAATATTATTTATGGCATGTAATATGTAATATGTAATATATATATAATATCATATATAATATCAAAATTTTGTGATTATATATAAGTGTGACATAATTAAATTAGTAATAAATGTTTCATTATATATTTCATTACGAATAATATAATATTTGTTTCAAAACTTATTTTCCAGTATTTTCAAAGATGATAATTGTAATAATTATTTTTAACGAAAAAAAATATATGTTACGCGAAAATACAACAAGCAATTCTTTTTCATCTATTGAATAACTAGACGATCGATTGCAACGAAGTATAACATGCGGCTTCACGCTTTCTGAAGTTGATCTACGAGGTGAAAATTGTAAAGAAGAACGAGGTCTTTCGTTTCCTTTCAGATATCATTAATACATCAAATTATTACATATACGGGTATATGAAATTTTTATGAAATAATTGTGCAAATATCATGTACATTTTTTTATAAAATCAAAAGGTGAAATAATATTTCATATTTTATGAAATTTTTTAACTTATAACTGTAATTTTTAAATTTTTTTTAAATTTAATATAATATAATATAATAAAAAAGAAATTAAAAAATTAAATCCACTTAAAATTATGAAAAAATTTAAAAAATTTTTTTATTAAATTTTAAATTATAAATAAAATATTTCTTTAAAAAGAAAACTTAAATGAGATTTTGTTAAAAAACTAAACTTTTTCCGAGTAATAATTATCTTATACAAGAAATCTCTGAAAATATAAAAAAAAAAAATTAGAGCAGAATTAAAAAGAAATCAAATCATTATTAAATTGTAACTATAAATATAAAAATGTCACCGGAAATCCATGTTGAAAGTTCATATTCTTTAAAGTGCAACCATGAATTAAATTTTTTTCTCTCAAGCAAGATCTCGAAAAAGTCTCGCCGGAAGTTCATCCTCCCAAATGATACCACTTTTACCCCTTTTTTCTCATAAAGTCTGTATGAACAGAATCGTTCGATGACGTTAAAAGATTTTAATCGTGCAATAACGTTTGGTATGATATACCAAGAAAATCGCCAATGATCCACATCCGGTGGTCCATCGTCGGTTTGCTTTCTTCCTTTCTTTTTCGAGGTCAATGTGCTTGCAAAAAGTGACCTTGTACGATCCTGATGGGATACTCTCCTTCGAGTCAGGATCGAGGCCCACTTTGTACACCATCTGGCTCGACTGGCAAGATAGTTATGGTTGCCTCATCATCCTTAATACGAAACAACCGCTGGCTGATACAGTGTCTAATTATAGTCGTTGCTTTTCCTTTTTGTAATGAAATCTTGAATCTTTTTTAATGCATTCATTTTCAGAATCGTTCTTCTTTTCTTATTTTTACTTATAGATTATAAATATTAGTTTATAATGTATTTATTTATTAATAAAAATTATTAATAAAAATTTTTAAAAATTTAGAATCACTATAATTATATATTCTATAACAAATTAAGCTAATGATATATTTTTATGGAATTAAACAAATTTTAACTATTTTTTGTAATTCTCAAGAAATATTTTATAAATTTTTAATTTATATGCTTTACTATTGTAAAATAATGCAGAAAAATCTTATATTTCTATTTTTTTTGGAAAAGTTATTGAAGTTCAAAATTTTTATACTTTTTACATAGAATTAATTATTTTGAGAAGCTAATTAAAGAACTAGTCAAAAGTGAATTTATATTAAAGAGATAATAACATAACGAAGTAATAATCTCTATCATAAAACTCAAAGTTCGAACGATTCTATAATATAATTGATTATCTATTATCACATTTAATTCATAGTTCTTTTTTAACAAGTAGAATCATTAACAAGGCGGACGTATTCGAAAGTGGGGATAAAGGGAATTAGTCAATACTGATTCTCTCTCGACAAACGCGAGCAGAATTGTTATTCTACGTCCAGTCAAGTCTTTTTCTAAATATAATCGGCCGGTTTCCGGTCGTGCAGCAGCACCAGACGAGAAGTCGAAAACTATAAATACTTGTCCAGTGGTACATGCACAACTGCAGGAAATCGTGTCTTCTTACATACATTCAACAATCCCTCTTTGTTGATGAATGAACGATTGTTCTAACATTTTTCTGTGAATCTTATTAACTTGTAAGTATTTACTAGACAGTTCAATAAACTAACGGATGAATTTTTTAAAAATGATTTGTGTTATCAATACCTTTTTTCTTCTATTAAATATGGACATCTTTTAAATAAGAAATTAAAAAAATAAAAAAAGAATAATTAAAAATATTAGTAAAATGAAAAATAATAAAAAATTGAAAAATATAATAGAAAATAATAAATAGAAAGATAAATGAAAACTATTTAAAATTTTTAAAAATTAATAGATGATTTTGAAAATTGAAAAAAAAACACTGTGAGATAAAATCAAAGAAAATGAATATTATATATAAAAAAATTTATATTTTTTAAGTTAAATTTTTTCGATTTCAATATTTCCAATTAATTCTTTTACAACTTCAAAATTTTACTTATTTTTAAAAATTTATTTAAAAATTAAAATAATTAAATAGTTTCATATAAATATGCATAATATGTAATAACCAGATGCCGTCTAGACTGGCTATTAGAAACCCTGCGGGCAGGATGTTCGTTCTTATACTTAAGGAAGAAGAAATCCATCATATATAGAATACTTTCGCCTTCCTTTTTCCGTTGTATACAACTCATAGTCATGGTCTTGTTAACGAACTGCCAAGAATGCATTGGAAAGAGATCCAGATAACATCGTTTTACATTATCGAATGCACTGCTTGGAAATATCGATTCTCGGCTATCTTTCAATTACAGCGTTAATTAACGCTAAATAGCATCAAACATATAATGTTATAATTCATAAAATTAACTAATTGCTCAAAGTTACAGAGATCTATAATGTATACCATCATTATTTTACTTATAATTGTAGATTTTATTGATTTTTTTTTTATGAGACTTGATATTAAAACATTTTTAAAATTTAAAATATTTAGAAATATTCTTTTACATTTATTAAAGATCAAGAATAGTTTTTTCAAATTTTTCGCAATTTAAAGAAATGTTTTCTCTTATTTTATATGGAACAAAAGATACAATTACACAAAGAATGATTCTTATCTAAATCTTTGTAAATGTAAAGAATATATAAGATAATGTAAAGAAAAATTATTAAGAAATATCTAAATATAAATTTAGCAAACTAATGAAGAGTTCGTTGAACATTAAAAAAAGTTCAAACATGCCAATATCATTTTATTCATTTTAATCACAACGAAACTCATCATTTTTATTGAAATAATATATCAATAATATAATATACTTAAACTTTCATCTTATGACAATATAAAATTTTTATCAATTCCTATATTTTCTAATATTTATTAGTTAAAAAATATTAGCGAGAAATATTAACAATATTAACAACAATATTTAAGTAAGCACTTATATTTTGCGCTAGAATTAGGTTAGGATACCTTATAATATAAATAATAATATATACAATATAATAATATAATATAATAATAAGCTAAATATGAAATAGCTATATTTAAAATAATTTTTTGCATTTTCTTTTTTTTTTTAAATTATTGATGGATGCTATCATTTAATCTCAATTTCATTTTAATTTTTATTTTATCTATTTCAAAGTTATAAGAATTTATTTTTAAGTTTTTATTCCAACTTTTTCTTTTTCACTAATATTAATATAAATATATTTTAATAAAAGAATAAAGAGTTAAAATCGAAATGAAGACGAATTCACAGATAATTTTGAAATTGCACAGAGAAACTGCACGAAGAGCAGTTAACCTAAATTTATTTCGACATAATAACACACTTCAAACTTTTCTCCATCCAAGCTTCCCGGACCACCCAGCATGAAATTTTACGACATCGCGTTATTACACGTTAATTTCCACTCGATGAAGATTATATGATAATATAATGTGTACATTTGGCATAGTTGAAATTACAATGTGAATATGAAATGCAATCGAATTTTGTACGATAATACGATAATTATTCTATAATTTGTCGATCATGCTAATTTTCGATTACTCGAACTTTCGATTATTTTTATATTTATTCGATTTGGATTTTATTCGATATGTATTTCTTTTATTGATGTTTTGATTATATAAATTTTTTTTAAGTAAAATATGTATTTATAAGTAAAAATTTCGAAATTTAAATTTAATATACTGATATCATTTATTAAATTTTATTCCATTGTCAAATTGAAATATTTGAGAAAGATTTTATCATTTTCTTCTTATTTTCTTTCTTTTGAATAATAATTTCAGAATAGTATCATTATCAAAAATTCATTATTTTATATTATTTTTTAAAATACATATATAATACATATTTTTGGAAAGAATTAGAATTATATTAAAATAAATACTATTTAAAATGTCGATGAGATTTTAAAATGTCGATTTAAAATCTCGTTTTAAGTACTTAAAAACATTTTTAAAATTTACTAAAACCTTATATATTTTTTCCCGAATCATTCAAGCATAAAAACAGATAAATTCACGCGAAAAACGAAAAACGAAAAACGAAAAAATGATGTAACGAAAAATCGAATACTTAAAGTCCATCTGTCTCGTCGTTAAAATGTCGTGACACGTGGTCGCACCTGGTTGTCGTCGAAAGAGGCAGTCAAAATGCCATGTGACTCAACGCACTGACAGGAGGCAGAAAAAGCCTGAGATCGCAGTAGATAGAAGCCTGTGAGAATAAAGAGGAAAGAAGCATCAAAAATGCAGAACATTGTTAAAGAATATCCGGCTATATTCGACATATGTCCGAAACATTGGCTCCAGTTCGAATACGATGGAATCATCGAAATATTTGAAGGTATATTAGCTGGAGATATAGCAGCTAATTTGTTCTAAAATTATAATTATATTTTTTTGGAATTTAGAAACATTTAAATAATAGATATTTAAGATATATTTTTTTTATTATTGTTAGAATATATTGAAGAATATATTGTTAATATATATATATATATATATATTGTTAAAATATGTCAGTAAAATATTTTAAAGTTTGATGATACATACATAATATACTTAATATACTTGATAATGCATACATAATATATATAATAACCAATAATATCCAATAGTCAATATATATATGATTTTGATGAAATTTATTTATATTATTTTTTTCTTGATTTTATTTTTATAATTTGTATTTTTTAAAAATATTTCAATTTTTATTCAAGTTCTAAATTTGAAAATAATTTTATTAGAAATCGATTCTCATTTCATTATAATTCGGGATCCAATCTTTGATTCGTGATAATTTTCATGAAGATAACCTCAAAATTCACGTATTCTTTGTATATGTGGTATAAAAAACTGAAACGACCAGGAATCAACGTGTTCTGAGGTAAGGGAACGGATATCTTTCGATCTATCGCGTTCTTTTTTTGGAACTGTCGTGTCCCTTAGTGAATAATCGTCCGGATACAAAGAAATATAGCTTCGATACAATAGAATTCTAACGCCCACGGAAATGAAGGCGGAATCTATATTCCATAATTGGAATCTTCGTTTTGTGACACATTCCAGAATGTGCTCAGAAAAACAAATAGAATAAAAGAAGGATTTAAATTCCTTCTAATATCTAAATTCTGTTAGTATATACTTAATCTATTTTTTGATTTTACAAAAATTATACAAATATTTTTTGATTTCTGAATAAAATAATATTTATTATTTATATATAACTTGAATTAAAGAGATTTATATATATATATATATATATATATATATATATATATATATATATCATATTATAATCTTAAGAGAAAAATAAAATAAAATATAAATATTCTTATTCATTCAAGTGTTAACATTAATTTTGACATAACCTATATTTATATATAAAATGACAATGGAAAAAGATTGAACTAATTGATGTGATTGAATAAAAAATAGAAGAAATGCAATTAATTATGACTCAATTCGTATTAAATGAGATGGATCATTTTGGAATGTTAATAGATATCTACACATCACTTCCTGCCTCTCAGGTACAATTTTCAAAATATTTCTTATTCTTACATAGTCGATCTTTAATACGTGTCTTAATGATTCAACAATTCACGGCTGCGATTATTTAATTGCCGTTAATTATATTTAGAGATGTTAATTGGAACTGTAAACATCGATAGACACAATCAGCTATTAAAATTAGCTGCGATCAAAACACGAATTATAAACGTGCCTTTAATTCTCAAGCGAAAAAGGAAACATTAATTGAATTTTGTGCTAGAGATCGTTCAACTTTTTGTGGAATCCTTTGGAAACTTTATGAATCTGTAATTTTGTATAAGAACAACTTATTTTGTTTTAAATAAGTTTTATTTCCGAATTTATACATATTTGTGAGAAAAGATATATTTTCCTCATGGAATGTTTAAATGTTTAAAAATGTAGATATTTATAGGTTAGAATTTTCTATATGAAATTCTGTTATAATGATCGTTGAACTTTGTGATACTTTGGAAACAATATGAAGATAATTGCATTTTGCATTTGTAATTTACCATAAATTTGCAGGTTTAAAAAACTGGGACAAGGAAGAATATTATTATTTATAATTAAAAAAAATAACTTCTTGTTGCAAACGATACTTATTAAAAGATTATGTGACAATATTATCTTACTTGATATCTTTCTTATTGAACATATATTAAAATTTCCATACATATTATAAAAACATATTACTATCGAAACTTTATTTTTCTTGTAAATGAGTCATTTTTATTTAAAGATAAAAATTATAGATATTATATATATAATTATATTATGTTATTATATCTTATTATTAAATAAGAAAAATGCAATTCATCGCATCTTCTAATGCAGTACTGGTTACTGTTTGTAATAGATAAAAGTATTGGAAGCGAATGTTGAACTTCTGAGAACTTTCAATCTAATTGATAAGATAGTGAATTAAGTCTTGGATAAACGAATGGAACGAACATCCGCTAATTCTTTGACAATAGGAATACAAAGGTATATACGTCAATGAAAACAAGAATCACGTTTCGTAAATACTTTATGGACATCTTATAAAACACAACTATCAGATAGCTTAGGGAATTTTAGAACGAATATAAGAAGCTTGAAGAAATTATTTGAAAGAGATTCTGCATGAAAAATAAGACATAAATTTAAATTTTTATCCATAAGTATACTTATTTTTAAATTTGACAAAAATTGAAAAATTATTATAATTTTTAAAAAATCAAAAATAATATTTTTATCTCATTGAAATTCTAAAAACTTTTTAATCTTTAGTTTTTGAATTTTCAGAATTTAATCAAACCATTTGATTTTAGATAAAACCGAATCTCAATTCTGGTTCAACTTACATATCTATCGATTATCAAAAAATTATAATCTCTTCTGTTAAAAACTCTCCAAACGAAAAAGTTTATGGATGATCCAATCACGATAACATAAGTCAACAATTATTCTTATTATTTTACGCAAATCTATATTGCCAAAGAGGAAACTCGTCTGACTAATCACAGTAGAAACAATCGTTAAAAGAGAAATTACCATATAAATATTCCAAGTGACTCATAAGCATTCTTCGAGCGTGTTACGTTTCTTCCACCTCCGCCTATGAAATACCAAAGGGATTTCACAGGTTAACGAGATCATGATAATCTGCACAACGGAATCGAACATACTGACCTGAAAATTATCGATGGATCGTGCATGGAAACGTGAATACATGCGAATACGAAGAAATTCTCGGCAGGAGGAAAGAGAAAAAGAAGGGATCCAAGAAAGGCACGGCAGGGTACAGGTGCCGCGCCCTGTTGAACTTCCAGTTCGACTTCTCACAGTCGATTATGTATTCATGAGTGTTTGAGAAGAAAGAAAAAGGAAAAGAAACAGTAGACATAATCTCGTTCGATGCAAAGGAGATTCCTTTTTAGGCAAAGATGTAGATAAAAGTTACACGACATCGTTGGAAGTTTGCACTAAGAGATGCAACACGGATGAGAATAGAATTGTCCTAATCTAATGTTCTAATCTAAAAAATTAAAAAAATTAATAACACAGAAAATACATAGAAAGATATTTTGAAAAAAAATTCATTGTAAAAAGAATTCATTTATATCATTTATTAAGTTTATTAAATAATTTGATATATCTTCTATTCTTTTTTTTTTTAATAGAATTATTAAATTTTTTTCATTCTTTGTTTCATGAGATTTACGTATTATAAGAAATCCACATTATAACTGGACACGCATTGTTCAAGTAATATTCTCACGACTCGAATGTATTCTCATGATAGCTATATACCGGATAAATATAATCCGCGTCAAGACACTCGTCTAGCCTGTCCTATTCTAGCCTAGCTCAGGCATCCGCGGATTACAAGAGACTTCCGGTCTACTCTTTCTGATGGTCATTGTTGCACCGGGCAGAGAGTGTGACGACCTCGACAGCCTCGATCCGCTTTTTCCAAAGCGTCTTTGCTTCTCTGTAAGATGGATCTCTGTATCGCCATGGAATTATTCTTTTCGAAATTCAATTTAAAAATACGAATGATGCGAAATCGTCGAGATATCGAGATTTTTCCAATCTTTTTTAAATTGCGATCTCTTTTTGCAATATATAAATAATTTGCAACTATATAAGGTAAGGAAACTTAAAAAAATTGTATTACTAAAAAATAATGGATTAATTAATAAAAGATTTATTTTGATATTATTATAGAGTATGGCAATGTAATTATATTACAATAAGATATTAAAATAAATAAAAAAACTAGAATACATAAATGATAGATTTATTTTACAAATTATGAACAATTTAATTTTCCATTAGGAGCGTCTGTAGATAGGCAATTGGTCGAGCATCAGCGCTTGCTTATTAAATTTGATAAAATGTTCGATAGGATCTAATCATATTCAGATATCACGAAGAATTTACATTACATTACATTATATTATGTGATAATTGGGAATGAAAAATATTTAATATGAGAAAAAAAGGAAACATGTATTACATATATTTATTTAATTAAGAATTATTAGAACCATTAAGAAATTATGTGAAATAATCTAAGAAAATGATTTATAGAAAAGAAGAAAAAAGAAAAGAAAAAAAGATTAAAAAACATGAAATAGAAAAAATAATTCATAAAATTTTTTTAATTTTCTAAAAAAAAGAATTTATACTTCGAAATTCTATAATTTCTAATCTTTATTAGAGCTCCAACGTCTGAGAATTCTAAAAGAATTCTAAATATATCATTTGACACAAAAAAAAATCTGGAAAGAATAATTCACGTACTGAAAAAAAATTCTCTATTCTTCCATCATTCGCATTTTTCTAGGGACCAATCTTCTTTTTTTTTTTTACGTTGTCCTAAACTCTATCATCAATGATAATTTTCGAGTTCTTTCGACCGAGGATAAGAGGAATTTCGATCATTAATGCTTTGTTACAAAATATCGTATCCCATTGTTCTGTATAAACAAGAATAATCTGGGAAACTAATATGGAGAAAGATGTTTTTGCCTTATTGTTGCAATGTATACTTGTATTTTTTTTATGTTGAAATTTTGTAAAAGATTTCTCGACATTTTTATATATTTTTATGTTAATGAACTCATGGAACGAAATTATAAAGAACAGGCAGAAGTAATATATTTTGTGAATAAAATAGAGTAACATAATTATATATTTATTGAAAGTAAATTTTTGATGATTTAATAATTAATTCTGTATTTAAAAATAAAAAACAAAATATTATATTATTCGTTACATTAATTATATTACATATAAAATAATATTACATTAACGTTACGTTAATTAGTAATTTTTAAAAACTTTTGCACGAGATTATACATAAATGGACAAGTTTCTCGTAAACTTGCTCTAATCTAATCAATCCTTTTGCGACCCACGTTTGAAATATGTACGCTCCGTTACTCGTATGTAAAGAAGAAGACCTTTAGCGGTCCTAACTTTACTTACTCAGTGTACCATTTATTATAACATCTATCCGGTTACGGGTCATGGTTTTGGTCTGCTGGGGATCTTGGATAGTTATTAAGGTTTCACGTGGAGTCACTTTACCGTGACATCCAATTTCTGTCATATTACGAATGCAGAAAGTAAATCGACAAATTATTTCTCATATTGTCTTATGAAAAAAAAAAAAAAACTATCATATATTTATATATATCTTTCTAAATAATTTTAAATCAGAATTACTTTAATATAAAATGTGGAAATATAAATATTTTTTAATTTCGATAGCTTTTCCTTTTTTTCTGGTTTCTTTATTTTAAAAAAAATTATTAAGTTTAAATTTTACGAACTATTACGAAATATATTCGTCGATTATATTTCGATGCACTATTGCTTTCAAGATGTTTTCATAGAATTTTCTTATTTTTTTATTTGAATTTAATTTTTTTCTTTTTTTTTTAATTTAAACGCCAATAAAACTCGATTGTAATTGCGAATTAAGTAATAATTGAGCAATAATTGAGAAATTGGAAGAAATATAATCTTTTCAACGAATATCGTGTATGAAAGCATCACGTATTCAAAAATTGTCAAAGGAAGATTGCAAGTACGCGCCACTTATATTTGTAATGCATCCCGTGCGTAAGTTCGCATGCACATATGCTTGTGCATTGTCCAGAATCGTGAGCCATGAAAACCAGTCTCTCACCATAGCTCGTGCCGAACTTTCAGTGTTCGTGTTGCGTGTACATGTGTCATTAAAGTGGAAACACGAAATAAACACGGATACTTGAACAGGAAGGATCATGCAACTGGGACAAATCATTCTTTTTTTCTATTATTAACAGTTCTTCAAGTAATCACGTAACAGTATATTTTTTTCATGCTAATCCACTTTATTTTTCAAACTAATCGATTATCTATATTATTCAGACATCTATGGAAATTTTCATATTGAATTAATTAATTACTATATTGTTTAGAATTTTTCTAAATTTAATATATATATTCGTATTTCTTCACGAATTATTCTTCAAAAATTAAATTCTTATGATGATAAAAAGTTGTGAAGAATTATTTGTTATTATTTTCATTAAAACTTAAAATTAAATGCAAATTCCATCATGACACGTGTATTTCAAAATATACAAATTTGCATATTATTCACGAAATAAGAAAAAGAATTACAGACAAACAATAATACTGAGTTAAGTAATTTACGAATAAGAGATTGAACTCTCTTACAAGAAATTGTTCAAGATACAACAAAGATATTTGCGTGTTCCATAAGAATGGCCTAGCTCGCAAAAAACTCCCCCAAAGAATTCCTCGATAGAAATTGCAAGCTGCTGCGAAAGCGGCTTCTATTTTGTCGGAACTCGAACGATAAAAAAGGGAAGAAAAGAAAAAGGATAAGAAAGGAAGAAAGAAAGGAAGGAAGGAAGAGGAAGAAAAAACTTTGTCTGGCTTCTAATAATAAAGGGCGCGTGTACGATATGTAATGGATGTAAAAGGAGTAAAAAAATTCCACGATAATTCTCGATGGAATGAAACATCTGCCCTCAACTTCCACCACCTACTTCCGAATCCTTCGCCATTCTTACGCACCCTCGTCACCACACCGTAGACATTCAATCCTTCCGATGAACGAAAGGAGAAAGGTATGCATAACGAAGGCGCGTGACACGAGAACCAGAAGGCACCTGGCCAACTATGTCCCTTTTAATCAAAGGGATATTTTGTTCGTGGTCATTATGCGTGAATAAAACACGCGACAATTCTGGGCATGTATTGCTCCGAAGAATCTTCGTTTCCTCGCTTTTTTTTTTCTCGTAGGATTATTTAAAATTGTATTAATCATGGTTATGCATTTAATTACCAAATTAATTACTATTTTTTATTTTTCATTGCGAAAATTAATATTTATCATTAATTAAAAGTTATTAATAATCTAAAAGAAAAAAAGAAATGAATTTTGAATTTGATAAAATATTATCACTATAATCTTTTTTTAATTTCAGAAATTTTTTAATTTTAATTTCACCTTGTGAATTTTTTATGTTTTGCAAATAATCAGTGATCTTTTTAAATGTAATAAACCACATTGTTTCGAATTACAAAGCTACCCTCGAAACTTCTATGGGGTAATATACTACCCTCAAAACCTGCTCATTATAATGGCACCACTGTTGATGCATGCAGTTCTTTTTTTAAGCAAAGGTTTCTATCGATTTGTCGAGGGGTTGGTTCCGGTCTCGATGGAGTGATTTACAGAATTCTCATGGTACGAATCGAAGGCATTAAAAAAATTCAAAAGGTACTGAAATTCAAGGTACTCAAATATTTAATTGATTCTACTAAGATAAATATGTCTCGTATCCCTTTCTATATTTCTTTGAAACTGCAATTTTATATCTCCCTTGGCCAATGAATTATTCAAAGTTGATCAAATTTTCAAGAAGAAAAGGGAAGAGAACGAGAAAGAAGAATTTTACTTTATTAATGAAGCTTCTAATATTAAAATATTGATTTAATCTTATCATCCCTATGAAAAATTCCACTAAACATTAAAAAACAAAAGTTCTCATCGAATTATAATTTCCAACATAACTAACAGTAAATTTTTCACAAAACTATCTCCATTCATCAAATATTTCTATAATTTAATTTTAGAATTCTTTTTTAATTTAATTTAGAATTCTCTCTATACGCTCATATAAATCAATACTTTAAAAAGAATATTACATCGCGTTATTTTAATATTATTATATCTCTGTTTGATATAATAATAATATGTCATCATTCTGTAAAATTAATATATATTTATATATATTATAAAGTAGTAAAAAATAGATTCTCATCCAGTATAACTAAATTCTAGCTGCGGAAGAGGAAACAAGAAACTCGGGATCTGAATCCTCGAAGGGGTGGCGTCCCACGACAAATCGATTTCTTCACTGCGGATAAAAAACACGGCTAACTCGAGAGGATCGTTGCGGTCAGTGAGGAATGTCTGCGAGCATATCTCTCGTGCCCCGGTTCCTCGACATCTCTCGTTATTTTCCGAATGATCGAACATTTGCCTGGCAAAACGGAACGGAACGAACTGTGGGAAACGGTGTAGCGGGCTTCGTATCCGACGCGAAATATCGAAGCCATTGAAGAGACAAAGGGAACCAAAGCCGTGCACCGGCCGATACAATGAGCCGATCTTTGGAAATCGAGAGGTAGTTTCGAACCAGTTATCTTACAATAACGTGTCATGTTTTTTTTTTTTATTCGGATATGCGGATCTGGCATGTGATTCCACCGGATTAAAGTCAACTTTTCCTAGTAAGTCTAGTTTTTTAATAGAATCTCATAAGATTTTTGCATATTTTATTAATTGTTGTAAATTGAATTTTAACGAATTTAAAGTTATTTGTTTTATTAAAATTTGTACGTTGATGTTTAATATATTTTTAAATTTTACGTAAAAGTTATAAATTTTCGAAAATGTTAAGATTATTTATTAAAACTTGTATATCATTATTCAATAACCCTAGAATTGTTTTGCATTATTAAATATATGAAGCTTTTGGAAGTAGAAAATAGAAATTTTTAATCAAAATATCAAATAACGAAAGATATTCAAGAGAGGGAAAATTTAAAGAGTTGAAACTTCAATTTGGCAGAATGAGAAATTTTCTTTGTCTTTTGAGAAAAATCTTATGAATTATGTAAACAGAGGGATGGAATTTCCCTCATAGTTAGTAAGTTGATTCAATGGAATTAGAAAATGTTAGATTAGTAATCTAACTAAATTATTAATACTAAAAATTGATTGACTTATTATCTTGTATTTGAGAAAAAATTTTTAATTAGAACGAGATGAGAATCGAGAATAATTAATCGATAATTATGTGAAATAAATAAATATTCATCAAAAATGAAGAAAAATAAAATTCGTGCAAAAGATGAATTTAATTTTCATAATTAAGCAGAATTATCGAAAGATCATTGAACCGAAAAATCATTCATTGAAACAATATAAGCGGAATTTGAAGTAGGAATCAGAACGAAACGAAACTCTTCGACGATAATATTAACTTCATCGTCATTGGTATCTAGCTTGAAAGACACATTTGCATATCAATTATATTCTGCCTACACACCGTGCAATATTATACTTCGATAGTTCAGACAGACAATCTCGCCTCGAATATTATCCCTCGGGCAACCACCTACAATGTTTCCCTATTGTAAAATGTAAAATACTTTCCTGTTTCACCATTTTTTCGATTTCCTTTGATGTTTCGATCCGCAATTACATTATTCATTCCGGATCCGCATTACACTTTCAGAATAAGAATGAAAACAAAATTTTTCAGAGAATCTTTAAAAAATTTTCAATCCAATTTTTCATTTTTTCACAGTTAAAATATATCTTCAATTTAAGAAAAATAAAATATATAAGTCATCCCCTTGTGTAAAAATAAGAACGAGATCAAGATATAAAAATCCTAACAGCAGGATTAAATTTTAAAATAGGATACAAAAATAAATGTTTGTAATATCACATAATAGAAGAATCATCTTCTTGTTTTTCTAATCTCTATATCTTTTATCAAATTTTTCGAATAAAATATACTTTCTTTTAAAATCGTAATAAATTAACGATAATGGTATAATAAAGCATTATTCTTTGAATAAGGAGGACCTCCCATATTCTTTGATAAGTATATATCCTTAAGGATTTCAAGGATCATCTGTCTGAGAGAGATTCGTGATACGATCTTGGACCCTCCGCGAAAAGGATACTTAGGGTGTGCGGATCTTCGAAGGGGGATCATAATCCGGCCTCCCACGATGTTCCTAAATTTAACGTTTCTTATGAATTACGAAAGGACTCTGCACAATTTTCGAACCCTAACCAACCGTGTTTCATAAAATATCGACCCACGCCACGTGCGCACGAGCATAATCGACACGATCAATTGATTGGTACAGTGTGGTTCAAGAGTTCAAGACCGTGTTCTTTTGACCGGTGAGATCACACGAGTTGAGGATGTGCAAGTGAAACAATTGTTTTGAAAAACAAGTATTTTGATAAATTGTTTTAACGAAGATATTAATTAAAACATAATAAATCAAAAATTGTTTTAATAAGAATTTTGAGAATTTCATTTCAAACAAATGAATGGAAAATGTAAGTAAATAAATTGTGGGAATTGAATTTTCTTTTTTCGATGAATTTTCTTTGGAAATTTGATGGATTTAAACGAACGAAAAATGTAAAAAATAAATCGATTTAATGAAATCGCTTTGAAAGAAATTTTGAAAAACTTTGAACGTATCAAAATCACGTTCACGGACAATCGATCCGAGAACAAGCCCATGGTGCATCTGCCCTTTGCTACCCTCGAAACAACAAGTAGATCGTTATCGTCTATACCACTTTCACCATCGAGGTGAATGAAGAAAGCCGAGTAGATATAATGAGATAATCGCTCGTTATCAAAAAAGAGAAGAGGAAAAAAATTTGTTTTCTTAAAAAAAAAAAATTACATTCGAAAATTTTACTTGAAAAATTCGTGTAATTTAATGATTTGTTCATTTCAAAAACGAGCTTTTCGATGAAACACACGAATTCATTGTTACCCCTAATGTGGTAATATCGCTCTTTTGCCATGATTCCTAATGGATCACGCCTACGCATGTAAGCATTGTTCTCCACTACAAGGGAAAATACATAAGTACATATATCGCAAAGATTTTGATAGCACCACTGTCACCAAAGCGATGATGGATGACTTCCCCTATCCTATCTCTGTTATACAGGTAAATAAGCTCGTTCGAAAACGATGGGAATTATGACAAGAATTATATCCTTTTCTTTCCCAATGTTATGACACATTTGAGGGCTGTGATTAATAAGTACAATCTAATCGATGAACATAAAGGTATATTTAATTTTTTATATAACATTTCATTTGACTTTAATTAAGATTTTATCTATATTATACGAGATTTTATTGACTTTTCAAAAATTTAATTGAAGATATAATTTTTATTTTATAACTTATAATTTTTATTAGATCTCATTTTCTTGCTATTATTAATATTAATTAATTCTTTTAAAAATAGCCAATATAAAAGAAAAAAAATCATTTTGCAAAAATTCTAATCGTATTATTCAATTAACTTTTAATCAGATCTTATTATTATTTGAAATTAAATTATTTTCTTTATTAAAATGAGATATTGTCATATCTTTCCACTAATCATAATTCACGTATCACAAAAAATCTGATACACCTGAATAAAATTATATCAATTCTTTTTTTCATTTATCCATCATTCGATTCGTCATGGAAATAAAATAAAACGGATTTCATCTTTCTACTTCGATCCATTTTACACCTTCCGAGGACTGGATAAAAAAGGGACCGACCGAAGACCATTAAGAGGGTAAGAAAAAATATTTCTTATTCCAACAGCGACCGCAATGTGCCTCGTTTCGGTATCCTCTAATCTCGAAGCGTACCACAGAAAGATCGAGCATATCGGGAGATTTGTTCTTCTGTTAGTGAATCACGGAGAAAAAATGAGAGGATCTACGAGGGAAGACGATGTTCCGGAAGATGGTAATTACCTCTGGAAGAAATTCTCTTTGGACCTCTGATACAGAAATGTACGTTTTTTTCTGCTCAGGTATTTGATGGAAGAATGAAAGATGGAAAGATCGACGATCGAATATCATCAATTCTTTGAATGAAAACTATGAATTGAATTCTTTATAAAGTAAGATTATTTGAAAAAATGAAGAATTCTTTTTTTTTTTTTTTAGAAGAAAATTATTCTAAAATTTTATATAAAAGATATTTTAATTTGTCGTGAAAGAATTTTTATAATTTATTTAAAGAAAATTTACGCCTTAAGGGATGATCTATTAAAGAAGAACGATCAAAAAATTTAAACCGTTGAGTCTTATAAAGAAACATTCTAAATGAAAGACACGGATACGAGATTTTGAGACTCATTGTGGATCATCTGCAGGAACTCAATGAAATTCTTTCGCATTTCGAAGGGCCTTGGTTCAGGTAAATGGACTATTTGAAAGATTGAATCGACAAGCAAAAAAAGAGAAGAATAGAGCAAATATTTTAACCTGCTTAGGATTGAGTTTCTTTTTAATCAGGTTTGTTTAAAGAATCTGGATCAGAGGCTTATCGAGCACATTTTATCGTCTGTTTATATTTTTATACATTTGTATATAAATAGAATTTATATTTTCTAATTAAATTGATCATCGCTTTCAAATATTATTTTGTATGATTATTATTATGGTATTTTATCTTATCATTGTTATAACATTGCTATCTGTTCATATTAATTACCAGTCCCTATATCTCTCATTAGATTGATAAATTATATTCATCAATCAAATCTGTTATAAAAAATTAAAAAAGAAATGATAAAAATGATAAAAGATAGTATAAATTATAATTTTGTCAAAAAATTATAATTTTAGATTAAACTTTATGTAAATGGACTAACCTTCAAAATGAGTAGGGATAAAAATGACTATTAAATCAAAATGAGACATGATGTTCGAATTCCACTTTGAAATAAACTGGATAGCATGTAATTCACGAAGATATAAACATGTGAATGGGATTCACAGGAAAATCTTTTAAAAATTCAATATTACGTAATTCAAAAACAATTATAATGCTACTGAAAACAGTACGTTGACTCATTAGAAAAAAATCTTAAGCTATTTTAAAATACGATGATATTATGTTATGAATAAAATCTGTTTAATCAATGGTCAGAAAAACGGTTATACCGTAGAGTAGCCCGGTTATAATAAGTCATTTGTGTGTTTACATTGAAAAAACTAATAAAAATGATTTAATATTATAAATCATAAAGTAATCGTTTCCTTATTAAAATTATTTCTATTTAATAATTAAAATTTATAAATTCACAAAACATTTTAATTATTTACGTTACGCAACAATTTAAATTTATATGTACAGAAATTATATTTGAAATATGTTTAAAGATAAAAATTAATAATGTGTACTTACTTTGACTGTAGACTGCATTAGCAATAATTAACAATATAAATGTTCCTTTGAGCTTCATGTTTAAAATGTTCAGTTTTCCTTAAAATTCAATCTAGTGCGCCACCACTTGAATTCATTCACTTTCGATTATCGAGATCTGCCAAGATCAAACGCGATGCATCGATCAAACAAAATCATCCGCACAATGTTCATTGAATTACTGACATGTATAAATCATATTTGTATTAATTATCGATAAAACAATACATTTCAAACAATACAAAAAAAAAGTATTAATTAAAATGAATTAGAATACGTCAAAAGATGAGAATGTAAAAGCTCGATTGTGAGCTTTCTTCGATAAAATGACTCTTCTCTTTCTTTCTCCTTTATTCCTTCTCTCTTGTTCCGTCCCTCTGAATAGTGTACCGTGAACCGAAGCGTACAGTACTTTCCACGAGTTTTACTGAGAAGGAACGTGATGAAATACTGTTTGATATTTTGTTTCTTCTTATAAACTTATTTACTTTAATTATAAATCTATTATAAATTGATCTTCACGATCACAATTGATAATTTAGGCACAAAAATTTCGGAGAAATTTCTTAGTATATTTTCTTCCTTTTTTTTGATTTATCAAAGAACTTCTATTTTGTAAGGTAACAGTGATTAATTGTATGTTAAAAATCACTTGATTCGTATTATGTCAAAGATTGAAACACTACGAAACCAAAGAATTGAAATTAGAATCGAATATACGAAATAACCGCGAGCCACACCGTACCGCGGTTCGCAAACGAATGCCACTGAAGTTGCCGCTCTTCCGAATTCCGTGCCCACATAGGTGTGCGTGCGCCGTCTCCCTTCCACGTGAATTTAGTTACCCCCACTAACGCACTGTTTCTTGGCTATGCGCACCATCTTCCCCCTGCTATGAATACACCACCGATGTGCAGCATTCGATTAGTAATGGGTCTGATCTAATTTCAAGCTTCTTCGATTTATAATCGCATTCAAAATAAAATTCAATTTTCCGTATTAAACAATTCTTTGGAAATAAGAAATAATACATTCTACATACGAATGTATTTTCAAAGAAATACGTGAGTAACAATTATTATTTATTATAACGCAAATTTATGTATAATTTAAAATGATTTAAAGAATATTCCAAAAGTATGATTTTGAGGTTAATCTTTAAAATTAGAAGATTATTTCATAAAGGCAAATCATGTTTTATTATAATAAATTTTTTTATAATTTTTAAAAGCATGTATTTAGAAAACAAGAATAACTATTTTGAGTAATGCATTTACACATGCGTGGCTAGCTTGATTCTGTTCCTACTTTCCATCAGTCTCGAATCCGGTATATCCTCACTTCCTTTATCCCCACTGTATCTAACTGAGCGCGTGTGCAGTCGACGCGTCAATTATATCTGAATCGAAGACGATGTCTCATCCTAGTTATATTGCAAGGATGAAAGCATTCTGCATTTTCATTAATGAATTCGAATATTCAGATATGTTTGCACTATTTTTCATCAATATGATCATAAAATAATCATTATAATCAAATTTTAAATCTTAATAATAGATAATAATTGCTTCATTTTTATTGTATGTATGCACGTATTAATTATGTAATAAATTTTTAGTAATAATCCAGTTATTATCTTGTGAGTATTTATTAAAATTAGTAAATATTATATTTTTATATTTATTTTTTTATTTTTATTTTCTTTTTTTGTACATTCTTAATCTTTAATCTTTATTCGTTACTAAAATTTAATATAAATTAAATTAATTAAATATTTCCTTTTTAATTATTTTCCTAGTAACAATAATAATAATAATCTTTTATCTTTCATATTTCAGTCTTAAAGGAAAGAAGTCCAAAAATTCATCTATAATTAGCAGCAAGCTTATTGATTTTTCTATTTGAAAAAATAACGAAGTTATGATATAATTTTGCAGTATTTCGCACAGCAAGCTCACAATATATGTTGTTTTATCATTAACTGCGAGAAATGCGAAGATTACAAGCATAGGATTCCGCGATTTATGAATGATTTGGAGGAGTGAATGAACGGGGTCAACGCATGCGCGCCACGATCCAGATTCCATTCCCATTCCAATCTTGTCTCTATTCTCTTTTTCCTTCTGCTGCACTCCAATACTGTGAACAGCTGTAGAATAAAAGATTTTTTTTATAAAAAAATTTTTCTAATTGAGAAAATCTTTATCAAAGTTTCTCTACCATTATAGAAATGATATTAGTAAGAAAAAGAAAGCGTTTCTTTCATTATTATGAAAATATTTATATAACTACATGGAAAGCAATTCAACCCAAAGTAAATCAAGCTTTTTGGTTTTACGATTTTACTTCATGACAAATGTGAGTTTTCCAATCTGATAAGATCAAAATATTATGTTATTTTTTTTTACATACTTTTCGCTTAATTAAATCATCATTTTTTTAAAAATTTTATTTATTAAAGTTATAGATATAATATTAAATCAATAGTTTATATAATTTTCTTATAAACAAGAAAAAAAAGCATATAATTATTTTTGAAAACTCCATTTTCTGAAAATCATTATCTTTCAGACACAATTTTCTAAAAGATTTTCAAAATATTCATTTTCCTATAAAGAACAATTTTTTTACAATGAAAGTAAGATTTTAGTTATATCTACAAATTTAAAAATTAAAAAATTAAATTACTTTTCATTCTTTTATTATTATACAAATATATTTTTTTAATTATTATAGTATACTCTCGGAAAAGAGTATTTCTGATTCATATAATGCATAATAGCAAGTTATTTTTCGATATAAGCTGAAAATTATAAAATGACAAAAGTCAGTAAAATTATATGAATTCAATGTAGTAACATAACAATTGTAAAGATGTTGTCCAATTTATATATGAAAATTTTTTTTCCAATATAGTTTCAATAATGAAAGAAATGTGTAATTTTATTTTCGCATTTTTCTCAATAGTCTAAAAAAAAAGTAATTTAATAAGTAAAAATCGTTTCAATATTTGTGTAAAAAAGATAAAAAAATAAAACATTCTTGTCTATATGAATTTCATTATTCAAATTTCATGAATTTTTCTCTGTAAATTATAGTATTTTTAAAAATATTCTTTAATAATAAAATATACAAAAATGTAAAGCTTGTAATTTAAAAAAAATACTAAAAGAGAATTTTGTGATGAGAAAAATTATATCAAAAAAAAATAATATGATAATTAATAATAAAAATATATCGTGAGAAAATATATTAGTCAGTTTAATTCATTTATTTTTTTTTTTGCATACCTCCGCTATTCATTCTTAACTTTTATTGAAGATAGTTTGCTTTTACAAAACTGAATGAAAGGACAAGTATTTTTCGAAACAATTTTCTTTCTTCATCCATAATGATTAATCCAGATACCAATAATTTTATTGATAATCTAATTCTTTAATTTTTAAAATAATTCAAATATTATTATGTAATTCAAAATTTAAATAAAACCAAAATTATTTTTTTTTAAATAAAAAAGAAAAATAAATAATATTGTTTATTAGATATTTTAATAAATTAAGTTTTTATTTTATATATATGAACTAGTTTTTCTTTCTTTATTATATTTTGAGATATTTATGAAATACTTAATTCTCTTGCTATTTTATTTTCATTTCATACACTAATTTCATTATAATATTACAGTTAAGAAAAATTTTTTTTTAAAATACAAACTTTAACTATTATTTTAATTATAATCAAATATCAATTTTAATTTTTATAACTTTACAAAAATTAACAAATATGATAATATCATACATCTTAAGTATACAAACTAATTATTAATATAATTACTTTGATATACTTTCAAAGTTATGTTTATTTAAACATAACTAAAATAGTAAAATTTTTATGAAAAATTCGAGGAAATGATTAATTAAGCTAATATGAAATATGATATACAGTAATATAATTTAATGAGACTAGGTCATGATGAAGAATGCATCATAACATAACTATTAAAGAATTCTTCGCCTACATTAATTAAGAAGTTATTGTCAAATTGATAATGGCAGTATAGAGTAATCTTTTAATCATAATTGCAGCATTCTAATTAAACTTGATCTCACGATAATTAAATGAAAAAAATTTGAGAACGTTTCATACTACAATATGTTAATATGTACATTTTTTTATTATGTACGGAAATCAATCATTTTTTTGTTAAATTTTTTGTGAAAAAAAATATAGAATTAATTATAACTTGTATTTCGTTCATAATTATTAATATAAAAAATTATTATTAATATTATTAATATAATATAATATAATTATTATTAATATAAAGAAAAATGATTCTTATAAAAAGTATTAAATAAAAAAAATACCAATTAAAAATAGAATTTAATTTAAAATTATTTTAAAACTAATCTAAAAAATATATGTAATTTAATATATGTAATTTAATATTTCATTATAATATATGTATATATAAAATTATAACTATTATATTTAATTTATTATATTTAATAATAATTATAATATTAAATAATCAAATATGTTACCATTTTTTATTCTGCTTATTCTGCTTATGTTCTGTTTGAACATTTTATGTTCAAGAAAAACATTATAACTTTTTCCATTTGTGGCAATCTTCATCATAGTGACAAGAAATCGGTAATGGTGAGTACTAATTATAAGTTCGTGGACAAATTTCTTAACGGCGGTTAATGTTTCTTATTATTAGTTCTTATTTTCTTTTTGATGAATAAATATCTTCAGCCACAATAAATCGAATGATGAACATTCAACAGCAATCGTCTATAGATATAAAAAAAAAAAAATATCAGATATATTCTAACTAATTTTCAATTTTTTCACTTAAAAAGTAATAATATCGATGATCGATTGTCCTACAAATATCTGTCAAATATACAAAATTTATCCAATATCTGCAAAATTGCTATAGTTTTTCATAAGCTTTCGTTGTATAGCGATGAAACAAAATATTACGATAGAGCAACCTGAAACATTATTATATTTTCAATTTTAATTTGTAAAAATTAATATTATTTTTCAAAGAATTCAAATATTAGAAATACAGCTGAGAAAAATAAATATTAAATACATATTTAATAAAATTCAATAAAATTTGGGCATTTAAAACATAAAACATATAACATAATTATATATTAGAAGTACAGAAATATTAAGAAAATTATTATTTTTTTTGAAAATTATAAATTTAATTTAATTTGAATATTTAAATTAGAGTTTGATACTTACTTTACTTATTTATTAATTTCAATTTTAATTCATTATAATTGCAATAAATATTCTTATAATTAGGAATTATAAAGAACTTCTCTTGTTTAAAATTTTACGAAACAATTATAAATATTATTACTATATAATGAAAAAAACTACAAAAAAAACATTAAAAATCAATGAAATTTCGAATTATTATTGTTATGAATTTAGTAAAAAGAATAAAAATTTCATAATAAATTAAGAAAACTATTTTTTTTCGTAACAAAAAGCTGAACCGTATTTATTAATATATAGATATAATTAATTATATATAATCGTAAATTATTTCTATTATTGTTCATATTTAAAATAAGAATACTTTAGAAATTTTATAAGAATATTTATCTATAATTATTCATATTTTAAATAATTGAAAGAATACTTCGAAAGAATCTATTTTTCGATACATTTAACTAATGCCAATCGTCAATAAAACACTAGAATACTATTTAGTTACTAAATTTTGGTACTTTTAAATATTTGCATAAAAAGAAAATATTTAAAAAAAATATT